TAGATTATGAATTTTACAATTTATTATTGTTCTTTTGACTTTTGTTTACTTTGAGGTTTGACATTACCGCATTAGATTTAGGGGTCGTTTGATTGGTTTTTTATTAAGTTTTATATGGATAAAGTTGTATGTATGAATTAATCTATTTGTATAAGTTGGAAAAGTTTTTGTTTAGGAGAGTTTTTCCGCATATGTAAGGAGCGGTTTCTTTAGTTGGAAGGGACATGTTTGGAAAAAAAAATGACTTTTTATATAAAGATCCCCCTAGAAGTTTACTGGATTAGTCACTTTCTATATCATTAAGCCACTACGAAACAGTTATGTATAGTTAAGCGAATAAGTTGTTAGTTTCATTAAGCTTATTAAGCTGCTAACAGATAAGCCCTTAGCCTTTAGTCGTTAGACCTGTAACTTTTGAGTTTTACTTTTTGCTTACTATGACAGTAATTTGGATGTAATTTGCTATTTTAATTAAAAACTAATCATAGTTTTCCTTGTCTTTTAAGTCCTATATATTGAAATAAAGTTTCTATTTTGCTAATTTCAATTTTGAAAAGAGAAAACTAGAAAAGAAGAAAACACGATCTTAATTCAGGATTTATCCTTTTATCATTCCATATTTTGTATTCGTGGTTTGGTTTTTATGTCCCCCCACCCCCAATTGTAGTTTTGTTTATTATAATTAATAAAAATCAACATGAGGATGAGACACTTAACTTGAATAGGTTCTAAACTCTTTAAAAAATCGCATGTTTTGTTGTTTCATTGGCTTAAAGAAATAGGCTTAGGGGCTTTTATTATTATTTTCGCACAGGGCATCAAAAATCTTAAGACCAGCCCTGTCCCCGTCTCATCATTAGATCGTTTACCAAAAAGAAATCAAAACAATGACTCCGAGATAGAAAGAGAGGAAGAATCATTCGAGAAGTTAATCAATTTGTGATAAGTTCTATGATCATATGTGATTATACGTGATACTATACGTATGCTTAATCATATATGATTAAACACATTCAAAGGAGACGTAGGTGAGTTGGTGAAGTTATGTGTTGTTAATGCAACATGTGTTTAATCATATATGATTAAGCGTACGTATTATGCGTGTAATCATATATGATATTAAAAATATTTGTCTTCTCGCAAATTGGCTGCCTTTTTGTTTGAACCAGACCCTGTGTGTGTGTGTGTATATATATATATATATAGAGAGAGAGAGAGAGATGTATGCTCATACGAGAATGATACATATTTAACAAAATAAGAAAATGATCAAATTATGTACAAAATCATATGTGATTTTACATTAACGGCAAAAAAGTGTGCGGGTGGCCCTATGACCGCGTGACAAGGTCATATGAATCACATGTGATTTTATATATGATGTTAGTGTAAAATCACATGTGATTCGGCCATTTTCTTATATATTGAACCTGACTATATATATATATATATATAGAGAGAGAGAGAGAGAGAGAGAGAGAGGGAGGGGAGAGAGATGAGCGATCAAATGCAAACCACCCATATTTGTACCAACCGTGCAAACCACTCTCATCCGTCCATTTTATTGTTTAATTTTATGAAATTATTTCATATAATACTTTTTTGATAAAGTTGTTTCATATAATACTTATGAAATTTTAATAAAACTGTTTCATGTATTTCTCTAAAATTAGTATAATGAAGATGATAATACCTATGATTAATACCTTCCACAATAAATATGATTAATCAATCTCTCATAATTACAAAAAATGAACAAAATAAAAAGTTATGATTGTTTTAATAGGATTTGTACAGTTTGTATAAATAACATATTTGCAAAATAAACCTCCTCTCTCTATCTCTCTATATTTATATAAGAATGGATTAGAGGTTGTAATCATGGTTCACAATCACAACATTTCCGTGACCTCTTTTACAACTGTTGATCCTCTCTCTCAGTGATTTGTTGATAATCCATTTTCCCTTTCACGTTGTATTTGTGTTTATGTATTTTCAGTTCTAGCGATCATCACTGAGTATGTTCAGTGATCGCTGAAGAACTTGCATTGTAAATTCATCAGAGACAGCAATACTTCAAGAAGACAACACTCACACCAAAGAACCTTCAGCGAACATCGAAGACTGAAACTGAAGATTAGAGACTGGCGAGTACGTGATCTGAAGCGGTATTCATTGATTACAAGTCTGACTACATATGTGTGAAGACTGCTCTAGCTTCAGCGAATGATGATGAGACCTTCAGGTCATTCCAACATTCAGCGATCAAAAGAAGCTTGCTTAGCACGATTGTTGTTGTCTTGTCCTTATGCACACAAAGGACAAACCCATACCCTTACAAAAGTTAGTACGGTACGGAACCGATTAGTCGACTCTTTGTCCACCAACTTTAGGCAAAGATGTCTGCTCAAAAATAGTGCTTTTGTACTATTCACTGTAGCAAAGGACAAACCTTCCTCTTAAGGTTTGACACGCACTCTAAACCTACCATATTGCATTAAATGTTCATTTAATGCACTGGGTATAAATATAAGTGTTTCTTCTTCATGTAGAGAGCGCGTATCTCTCTGCTATCCTCTTCTTACTTCAAGCATCTTCTAGCTTAAGTAAAAGATCTTACTTTTAGCAATCTCTGTTCTTGTATTTGCTAAAGATTTGTGTGTAACCAAAGATTGTTTAGATAAGTTTTCTTTACCTTATCTTTCCGCAAACAGTCTTGTAAAATCTGTATTGATCTTCGCTATCAATATATATTTTAAATTTTGAAAATATTGTGTTTGTATTCATTCCCCCCTTCTACAAACTGTTTCTATTCTTGTAGACCCTTACGGGACCAACAACAACCCAAATCCCCAAGACTTTGAGGGTTAATTTAGTAAATTTAAGAAGTAATAGCATATGCAAAGAAACGACAACGTATGTAAATGAAAATGACATCATTGAGATGTGGTGGTGATTTTCTTTCCACACAAATTTCATCCAAATAATTTGTTTAAAATGAGACATTAAAGGATACACGAATATCATGAGTTTTCCCATTTATATATATAGAATTTGTTTCAAATACAATCCGTCGTACTTGTACAATCAATACAACCCAATAAATTGAGATATTTATGTTAATTATGAGAGTTCATTTATTATGATTTGAATATTTATGGAAGATGAATATAGTTCATTAATTATGATCAATACTTTATATTATGAAACAAYCAAAACTTTTATGAAATCACATATTAATCAAATGAAATGGACAGTTAAGATTAGGTTGTATTGGTTACACAAATATCAAAGATTGTATAATAACCAACCTCTCTCTCTCTCTCTCTCTCTATATATATATATATATATATATATATATATATCCAAAAATTATTTTGAGAAGTGGTAAATATTTGAGAAGTAAAGAAATGATCTTAACAATTCATATGGTTAAGATCAGATTTGACTGATTAATAATTGTAGTTTCGACTGGTCAAAAGTTAGGGTTATGAGAAAAATAGAGGGGGTAATTTTGTAACTTTTACAAATAAGCATTAAATGGATTCATACATGAACCTATGTGATTCATGGGAACTCGTGTAATTAATGTATGAACTATTTTAACTAATTCACAAATGAACCTATGCGATTCACATATGAACTAATTAATTGATTCATATATGAACTCTTGTGATTTACATATGAACTAATTAGCTGATTCATATATGAACCTGTGTGATTCATATATGAACTATTTAACTGATTCATATATGTATAAACCGTGATTTTATACTAAAATCACGTGTGTAATATACATTTAATTCACGTGAATGTAGCCACGACCTGAGGTCGCTGACCACATCGCTCGTATGCCCCTACGTTAACTGTTAGTGTAAAATCACATGTGATTTTGCACGTGATTTGGTCGTTTTCATGTTCTCTTAGTTACTCATTTGAACCTCCTCTCTCTATCTCTCAATATATATATATATATATATATATAGAGAGAGAGAGAGAGAGAGAGAGTTGAGTTTCGGTAAGAAGAGAAGTTATAATGAGAAGCATAAGAAGAGAACTTTACCATTGGATCAATTCTAATTGAATGAAAAATCTAATGGGTGGACATGAGATTAAAAGTGATCAAGGGTTCGGATCTCTTCTTAATCTTCTCATCATAACTTCCCTTCTCACACGATCCTTCGCCTATATATGTACGAGAAATACATCTATTTTACAAAAATACAAGAACATTTCTAGGCCTTCAAATTATTTAACCCATAATTAAAATTAAAAGAAAAGAAAGTAAATACTTAAGAATAATAATATGGTTTTATATTAGTCTGTAATCTTGGTGACTTCATTATCCCTACCATCACGAACATATGTTGCTTATGCATTCAAAGTTGTTAACAACAAAATTACATCATAAGAAGTTTTCGATTTAACAAGTATCATCACATTATTATCAAAGTAAAATCATATCATTATCGACCGTGGAGATATGAACATAAGAAGTCTTCCATGATACTAGCAACATTTAAGGGATAAAAACAATAATAAATTGTTGATAAATGCTAATTTATTTTAATGTTTATTATGGATTAATTAATTTGAAGGCCCACACATATTCTCGCATTTTTATAGAAAGAAGCTTTTCTCGTCTGAACCTGTATCTACATGAAGGACCAAAAGACATATTCTGCCAGTAAACCAAGCTAAGGGCATTTTATCAACACAAATTGAGTAAACACTAGGTGAATAAAAATGCACTCCGGATAAAAGATTCATCCAGGATAAGTACAGGCTGAATGGCTGTTTATCAAGTGTCCCGGTAAGCACCGACTGAGTCTGACATCATCTTCCTTACTGGGTCATCGTGTATTGATAAACAACATCCCTTCTTACCGGATAAGCACCTCTTACCATATAAGGGACGGTCAACGCATAGTAAACAATCCCTAAACAAATCAAATTTCAGGCTGCAAATCACATATTCACCCAAAAGAAAAGGAACATTGTGTCCAAAAGCAGTCTATTTTACAAGCAAATCCAAGGGTTCAACCAAAACAACATTCCCCTCAAAACAAAACACAAGAAACTTGTTCTTCTTCTTCCCTTTCTACACAAACCAAAGCTATATGTTGTTGTTAACACTCGTCGCACCATTGATCTAATATTAAGATGCCTAGTCCTATCACAATCTCTACAATCAATACCCTTTTCAAAATTCACTTCCAATTTATGAAACAACATTTATAGTGCTTAATCAATGGAAGAACCATGATTTGATAAAGATGGCCAGAGCAAATTGCAACACACATGCAGCAACCAACACGATGGTCAGATCATTCAACTCTACGTGAGACCGAAGGTTCAAACCAACAAAGGCAGCTGATGCAACACCCGTGATGAGTGTGATGGTCCATCGCAGAAAATCCACTGGGATAACCAACAAAACCTGGATGTATTTACAAACAAAAAACATATCAGGAGACTACATGATTAGTAATCACAGCATCTCCAACAAATCTCCAAAATGGACAAAATAGGGATTTTGGAGTTTTTAACTCATTCTTTTGCTCCAAAAGATTCTCCAAGACAGAGAAAGTAGGGAAGAGTGTATAAAAATCTCCAAATTTAGAGAAACCTCCAAAATTTAATGCTGAAGAGAGAGAGATAGAGATGTTTTTTATCGTTATTTCAATAAAGTTTATTGGGATATTAAATCTACTGAATATTTCAATAAAATAATTGATGTAACAATCTCCATAATGAAAAAACTGTTGGAGTTGAATGTAATTTTCTTTTTGGAGATTTAACTTTTGCTTCTAGAAATTATAAAGAATCTGTTGGAGATGCTCATATCTCATATCCATGTTCGCACTTGATAGAAATTAATTAGGTAGATGACATACTACGTCAAATTATACCCTAAGATTATTATAATATCAAAATCTTCAACCTTCAAACATAAATGGATCATGTGAAGATCATGGATGCACATATTCCAAAGCTTAAGTGGTGGTTCTAAATTTGTTAAGAACACAAGCAACATGGATACTTACAGAGCTGAGAATGAAAATGAAGAGAGAGTATCCCCACATGCACCAAAAGTGGACAAGGCCAACCTTTGAACCGAAATACTGAAGCAACAAGTAAAATCCCAGTGGAACAATGAAGACATAACCATACACTGCAATGGCTGAAACATGGAAGTAGCTGACATCAAAGCTCCAAGAAACATTAGCGTCGCCTTTTCTACTCATCAGATACGTGGCACAGTTACCGAGTGCAGCTATCACAAATACCAACGTGGTGGAGATCCAAATGAGCCCATATCTAAATATAAAATTGTCAGTACGATAAGTTCAAGATTCTTGATTCAACACTAAGAAGTTAATAAGATAAGCTAAAGTTTGTAATGGTAACACCAGAGTGAGATATGTGCTACATTGAGAAACTACTAGAGTGAGATATGTGCTACATTGAGAAACTACTCAACTATAGTTTCTGATCAGACTAGGGAGCATATGCGGACACAAAAGGCAACTGTGGACCTAGAAACATACGACACTACAAAATATTATACGACAGTATCCCTTGCCCTGCCCAAGGAAGAATGAATTCCTCCTTTAAGGAGAGGAAGTGTATGTTCTTTGCTAGGGTGCACTTGCTTGGTCACCGTGGCTGCTTCATAGTACTTTGTCATTTTGATATGAAGTTATTTCATAAGAGACATATTGGTGATTTTAGTATCATGAATCAATTTTGGTGTAACCGTGATTTACTTGAGATCAATTAGGTGACAAGGCAAACAATGTGAGTTTGGGAGGTGCAGAGTGCACACTCACGAACGTTGCCACTATCACCTTAGAGCACCATAAGGCGGGGGTCAGGGAAGCTGCGCCTCTTGTAGGGTCCAAGGGGCAGCGCCCCTGGCAGTGGTCCCTTGCGGGGTTTGAGGCAGCGCCTGAAACCTCTACAGATTTTATGAAGAGATTTACTAAGAAAATTTAAGTTTCGGGACGTTTTAGGTGGATTTTAGAAGGTTGGAAACCTTCTTGAATTAGTTATGAAACTTAGTGAAATTGCCTAAGATGAATAAGAAGCATTTGTAGACTCAGAGCCTCTTGAGGCTTCTGATCAGAGCCTCCAAGTCTTCGGAGTTTGGTGCTTCGACTCAGGATTTCTGAATCTTCTGAGTCTTTTGAGTTTGGTGCTTCTGACTCAAAGCATTTGAGTCAGTTGTAACTGTCACTTAATTTTATCCGTAAGCAGTTGTAACTGTCGTGCAGTTACATGGTTTAACCGCCTAATAGTCCCTAACCGTCGATTTCTCTTATAAATACATAAATGATCGATCTCTCTCTTATATATATATATATATACACACACACACACACGAATTTGTGCCTTAAAATGCATATGAGTTTTCTGGATTATCCCAGTACTAATTTTGTTAGCCTAAGGCATCTATAATTCCATACACGATCCAGGAAATTATCCAAGTGATTACAACCACAAAACCCAGATTCTCCAACAAGGCATAAAGAATGATATTTGAGGAGCCTTGACGAATATATCACATGAACTAGTGAAGTTGTCGTTAGGAAAGAAAAGGATCAATCCATGGAATTATTTTAATTAAACTCCATTGGTATGTGGTGAAGCAAATTGTGAGTTACAAGACAATAATGACCAGGTAACACACATATTAAACATCTCAATTAAGCTTGTGTTGTATTTGTAGTGTCATCAAGAATTTTGGTGTACTTGTGATTGACACAAGAACGATAGCGTTTATTGGTTAAGCTATAATATGAATTAGGAAGTGCGGAGTGGACACTCGTATAACTATATAAGCTATCATGGACCTAAGATCACCATAAAGCGCGGGCGCGGGCGCGGGCGCGGGCGCGGGGGGGGTCGTGCCCCCTTGTGGTGTGGTCTGTGAAATTGTTTACAGAAAGCAACTTGCTTTCAGAAAGATAAGTTTAGAGGCCTTGTGAAGATCAGAAGGCTTACCCTTAGTTAAGAATGCTAAGTCTGGTAAGTTCAGAGGCCTTGTGAAGATCAGAATGCTAAGTCTCGACTCTTAAGTGTTGGTTCAGAGGGATCAGAAGGCTAAGCCTTAGTTAAGAATGCTAAGTCTCAACTCTTAAGTGTTGGTTCAGAAGGCTGAACCTTAACTTCTGAATACTACGTCTGGGTTCATAAAGTTAACTTGAGAAGGCAAGCCTTTGATTTAAAAGTGATGTGCCTTCACTTAAGAAAAAGTGGCTTGAGGGCCATTTACCAAAAACCTACCGGGTACGCGCTTACTGGCAAGAGTTATCACACTCACTTACTTTGTTGAGTAACATTCTCGTCCATCAAAACGGATTGTTTGTAAGCGTCTCTTACCCGATAAGCATTAACCTAGTAGGAGTCTTCTCCCTCACTTACCGGGTTAGAACCTCGGTTGTTCCCATGCCTCTTATCGGGTAAGATGCTTGCGCGGTAAGCGTTTGGTAAACGGCCCCTTAGTCTCAAAAGGCTAGTCACTTCCTATTTTACCCGTTGGTATTTGGCAATCATTTTTGGCACCAAAATAACTACCTTCCCGCCAAAGTTAACTGTTGATTGACTACCCATGTAAGTAAGTTCAATCTCTACTTTTATACATGCAAAAAAACAACAGTGCCCATGTGTTTGCTCTCTATAATTTTGCCTAAAATCTTGAGTGCGAATTTTGGATTATACCATAAGTGAATTTCGTGTACCAAGGCTGAAAAAAGGGACAAAATATTACTTTCGGACAGTGATACTGTTCAAGATCCAGATTTCTATCCAAGTTATTCATCGATGATCTATTTCGTAAGCCCTATATTCTAACAGCTTGGTCGTTCTCTTTCATGAAAGTTTTGCAGATCGGTGTATAGTTTGCGATCCACATTCCCACCCTTGGATGGACCTATAGCAAAATATCTATAAGGTGTACAATTGATTCTAGCCTCTGCCCTACACAACACCCTTAAGCGCAGGAATACACCAATACAATATTTAGCACTTTCAGAAGGATGTCATTACTTTGTGAAAGAAAGAACTACATATAACCAAAGTGGCTCAAACTAAATTTTCAAGTGCCAAGCTGAAGTTTAGATAGAGAAAGAGAAAGCGCAGAACTTACAGATCTGGGTTAGCTTCAATTTTCCTGAAAAAGTCACCAGTGGGATACAGAGAACTTGTTAATCTGTTCACAACATCGTCTGTATCAACATTAAAATATTGCGTGTAAGATGAGATGCTGAATGCTCCATTCCAGTTGCTGGCAGATTGTGGTCCATCTCCATCTGTATATATAGGGCTACGGGAAATAAGCTCATGCTGTATATTTGTCACAACTGTACCTTTTTCTAACTCATATGTAACTTACTATTAGTTTGTTAATTCACTTCAAAATCAGAGAAGATACAACTTGTATCACATTTATCTCTACCGAAACAAACAAGTTTCTAGCCAGTGCACAAAATCTACAGGGAAAAAAGGGATCCCCCAGGGACAAGGGTTTTGCAAGGAAGGAAATAGATATTCTTTACGGCCACCCAGCCATTAGAACTAACATTTCTCCTTAGGTGGCAAAGAAAAGAAAAGGACCTCTACTGTCAACTTATCCCCATTCATTTACTCTCCTGAGTATGCCATTCTGGATACTCACAAGTGACCATACATTGTATTGAAGATGCAACTTCAAGAAAAACTGAAAAAGCTCTAGGAGAACCATACTAGTGGACAGACATACCAATAGAACAGAGCATATGGTTATGTCAACATAAATTCAAAGAGAATAAACGTGGAAAAAGATCATCCCTAACAAAAATTGATGTTTAAAATAAAAAAATAGGATTGACTCAACATCTGGGGTTGATATTAAATATGTACATTAGTACATAGACCCAACTCACTAAGCTACACCACTCTGCCTTCGAATCAATTAATTAGGTCAGCTACTTAGCTATTGGGAATCCTCTTTTCTCCGTTTTGCTCCTTATCTGTAGCAATTTAGCAATAGTTATTGCTAAAACATAATGTCTAACTACGAATGTTATCTCAGTATCTCCTTAACATAATATCTTGCATGGATAGAGTACATGTTAAAACCGTTTTCTAATTTCTAGTTTTCTACTAGCATCTAAACTAACCATGGAGTTCATCTATCAAAGGTACAATTCTGGAAGACGGCTAGAACTATCCAACATGTGCCAATTGCCAAAAGAATAAACTTCTACGTCATGTCTGAGAAGGAGGTGTCATCTGATACAGATATAACGCCTGAAAGTTACCACTCAGAAGTCTCTATCTAATGGATATATAAGATAAGGTCCAAGAGTAAGAGGAATTTCTACTGTGATTCATCCCTTCTCCCAACTTCACCTCTTACATATCAATTCACAGTTTCACACAATGCAGTTTTCCACATTCTGAGTGCGCCTTTATGCCTTCTGACCAACCTAACCGTGTCACACACATAATCAGATCAACGTGAAGTCTACAAAATTACGAGGTCAGTGATCACAAGGAAGAAGTTAAGACAGATACTTGGCATTGTCCCTCATAACATATTAATATGTCAAGAGCGCACAACTCAATAGCAAAGCAAAAGTGCCAATGTTATCTGGAAAGTTCCTGGAGTAAAAATTGGTTAGCATAAAAAAAAAGGATTATGTCAAAAAGTGTTAACGATTACGATACCACCAAGTGCTGTCTGCTATAAGCACGGAACCTACATTTTGCCTTTAAAAACCGTGTGTTTCCTAAATAACACCCGAGGGCAGTCCATGTAAGAGCCAAAGGGTAAAAGAACTTCTAACAACAAAATTCACTTGGATAAGCTCAGACAAAGATTCAATCCTATTCACATGATAACAAAAATTGTTTTATATATTTGAAATGGCAATATAAGTGTTTCGGTTGTTGGCAAGTGCCAAAAGAGACAACCTTTCACACTACATATAAAGGTATCTAAATTTTCTAAAAGTGTTAAAATGTCAATTGTCAGTAAAGTTTAAAATAACACCAGAAAACTTGTGATGTATGAAGCAAATGGAAAAAAACAGAGAGCTTGAGAGGTTTTGCAGAAATGTGTACCTAAACTGTGAGGGTCTCTCCTGTTATCCCCTAGAACTGCTCATCGGCTTGCAACTGTAGTTGCAAACAAATATTCTTTTCTATCAACATATCCATTTTTACTGCCCTAGAGGCCTAGACCGCATGTTGGTAATTGACATGTCACCTGCTCTTACAACCAAAACTTTTTTTTTTTGTATCCTACCATAATGGATTATCCTACTGGTTATCCAATAAAGATATGTAAAAGGATTTCACAGGTATACACCAACTATATAGTAATCCATCATCCATAACCACCTAAGAATTACTACATCAAAAGATATGGTGGAATCAAATTCAATTATATATTTTAAAGTTAGTCTGACAAGTCTAGTTGTACTAGAGGAGCACTGTGGTTGAGCAGATCTAGAACGATTATTCGTTAGAAAAGAGAGAGCCAGCTATAGAAATATTATCCTCGTGTAATTGCATTTGCTTGCATCTCCTTATAAAAAATCTCAACTCCATATTAATCATGGGACCTTACTAATAACTGCAGGATTACATTGACTGCAGAGAAGAAGCAAAAGGAGATAATTAGATATTGTAGATACCGACTATTAGATAACTATTTTTCCTATGAAAAAAATGATGACTATTAGACAGTATGGTTCTATTGGTCATTCCCTCATAAAAATCTACAGAGCGATGTAACATACCACTTCGATTTGTAAGAGTCTGGTATCCCTGGCCACCGCCACCACTGTTAGGAGGAAATATTTGAAGATTTGCTTCAGGGTCTGCAGAAAATTCAAGAAACAGGTAAATAGGATGGGTATGCTTTGAGATCAACTACAGATGGAAAGGGACACCAACTGCTATAAGACCATGTCTTAAGAGTCCTATACCCTTGTGTATAGCTGGAGCCTTTTCTTCTGTGATGACAGCCTGAACATAATGGAGAAAGCACATTATTACTTGAATGTAATCACAGATAACTCTTAAACATCAAGCCCAGATATTGTCATATTGCAGCAAGTAAAAGCATACATATCACCACAGTAACAGGCCACATAAAACTTCAACCCTTCACACAAACAAATATTTCACAAATTGACCAAAAGAACTAATCATGTCATTACTGAAATAGCTGGTTACTCTCTGGAGCATGAAAGGTTGTAACTCGTGAATTCCTTTCGTCCCAAAATTTTAAGACACAATTTTAGTACATACATCAGTTAAAATTTGACAAGTGACTTTCAGGAAACCTGAAACCATAAATATCGAATTGTAGAATAATATTTAGATACTTTCAGCACAAAGATTCTGCAATGAATGTAAATCAAACACTCCACCTGTTCCCTAGAAAGAATGAACACTTTGTCTTTAGATGTAGAATGAATTACTTTCAACAGAAAGATTCTGCAATGAATGCTATAATTTGAGAAATAGTTGCTACCCAATTAATTTACGTAACAAGTATTGGCATAATGTCGGTGGCATATTTTAAATGGAAGGATGTATTGGTATATCCAAATATGGAGAAATTTCAAATAAAACGCAGTTCAAACCCATATCTCTAGAATCACAATTCACAATACAAATTAAAAGAAAAAATGAATAAAATAGTGAAGAGTCATAAAAGTTTCACTCTCCGATTGCTTGACATCATACCACATAAAAGGAAAACACCCAACAACTTTATGAGATGAGTTTACGACATCAATCGATATCAAAGATTTCCAACACTGATCATAAATTAGGGTAAATTTATGGTCATGCAACATGATATTAGCGCTACATACCGGAACTGAACCAGGCAAGTGACTAGTAGGAAGGGTAGTGTAGGACGATTCCGCCATCGAAGTGTGATTGTGGCGAGAGGAAACAAGAAATGGAGGTTTCAGCAAGTCATATTGATGATGAAATTTGATCGAGATTCGAGTTTCGTTTTCTTACAATTGGAACTGAATTCTGAAATTGAGCCCTAATTACGAGAACCAAACCACAACTGGCAGTCTGGCATCACCACGCTTCATGGTTTTATTTCGTTTATTTTATGTTACGAATTTAATTGTTTTTTGGTATCTTTTTTAAGTCGACGTGAACCTATATCCGAGAGGTACCAATGGACTGAGTTGATTGGGTTGAAAACATTTGAATAATCTAATTTAATATTTGTGCTTTAAAAAACCTTAACTCAATCCAACCCAACCCAACCCAAACCGTACGGATTGGTCGAGTTAATACTTTGGTACATTAAAATATTATTCTAATCTTGAATATATTATTATTCTATTCATAATTCTTTTTCATCATCAACCATTTGAAACAACTTATCCATACTTCTTATATATATCACATTCAGTTAAGTTTCTCAATTTACGTATATATGTTTACAGTTACTGAACATATATACGAATGAGTTATATAGAGATGCGAATAGATTGAAAAGATGTGTATATGAATAACATACATGACAGTGTAATTGTCTACTAAACAT